CATCTTCACCTTCAAGGACGCCAACGAGAGCGTACTCGCTCAGGAAGTCTCCGAGATTGTACAGATCACAGATGACCACAAGAACAAGGAAAGTCCCTCAGAGGCCCTGAGCTCTTTGACTATTCCCACTGGGCCACATGAGAACATGCTCCCCCAGTACACAATTCCCATGTCAGAATACTCTCCGACCGTCTGCAGCAGCCAGTACTCATTACCCACGACGCCCATTGTCCCACAAGCTCCCGGATTGCCACACTCACAGAGCATGTTTTTCCCACGGGACGCACAGTACCCTCGGATGATGAACCCTACCCCTGCGAGTCAAGCTCCAAACCAAGGCAACATGAACTTTTACGGTACTGCCATGCCTGCGCCCGCACCTACTCAGCAGTACGCCTCGCACCAGCGCGGCCAGAGCTACTTCTCGCCAACGATGCTCAGTCCTACAGCAGACCAGATGTCAGCACAGGCTGGGTACGCCCTCCATCGCCCGCATTCTCTGGACAGCTTCCCACAGGCATACAACTTCCAATTCTCGGCACAGCAATCGTATCCTCAGATGTACTCATCCCAACCGCCATCACGCGCCACCTCCCGGCCAGCATCGCCAACTTGGGACCAAGGGCGGGGCGCCAAGAAGATGCGCGCTCAACCTGGCTTCATGCTGTATGAAGACTTTGAGGAATGAACTTCTGACGATACGAAAGCACGAATTACGACAACAAATATGGGGCTATGTATAGCGGGCATCTGGGTGGCGTTTTGGGGTTCTGGATATCTACGTTTGATGATGATTTTGGTGGGATGGTTCTCTGGTACGAACAACATTGGCTTCGGCCACTTTGATTCTGGAAAAAAAGCCTGCCTCGCTCGAAATCTCATTTGTATTCTTCTTCGCTGTCGAGGGTCGTTCTTACAGGCGAGGCGATACTATCCGCCATAGACTTTGCTCGGTTACTACCACTTTAATCACTAGACCAAATCCTCTTACACTGCTAGATCCCTCGCAAGGACTAGCAGGTTCAACAATCTCTCGCTACAAGCATACAACCTGAACTTCGTGGATTGTCCCCAAATAATACTGTGATGTTATACAGTCAACGCTCACTTTTCTGCGTGCTGGAACAGAGGCTCATGTATTCCTCAGAGGTGCACACAACCAATCCTGTAGACAACAAAAGACCCTCGTAGTCTGCAAACCGTGGGTGCTCAGCTCCTGCGTGAAGACAACTAGTGCCGTATACGTCTACCGCATCTTCCCACTACAAATTGATGACATTGATAACCCTGCTGCAATGGATAAGGTCCGCTGCAGCATCGTCGTTCCAAGAGGCGGCCAAGCTACGGAAGTTAATCTATGATAGATTAGAAGGGCGTGGGATGCGCACTGCAGCGTCGATAAGACAAGACCGTTTAGCAGGGCCATAGGACACACACGCCGCAGGTACCCGAGCATGACCGTATAGTGCGCTCCCGGCACTAATCATGGCTCCGGCTCGTGTTGCGTTCTGTAGAAAATCTTGGCTATTATCAATACTCTCATCCAGCTAGGAGTATACATTATGTTCGAAACTGTATAGTTGTCAAGTGATAATACCGTGTATGCAGCAAACAGGACACAGATTCCAGCAACTCCTGGTACTGATGTGCAATCCACTGATAGCAACAGCAAGGAACGCAAACCACGACCTAGACCTTCCCTTTCCCATTCGACACTCCGCTTCGGACGTACGGAAACAGGGTCGTCCAAACAAACTTTCCAGAGGCGTTTATGCATGTCAGAACTCCAGATCGTGCGTTTCTGTAATATACACTGCAGTATCTCATCGAAATCGAAAGGAAGCACATCATCCATCTCATTTGCATTGTGTCGTACGGAATAACTATAAGTTGTGTGACCACCAACACACTGTTCGTTGCATTCATCCAAAACCTTCCTGTTTCGCATCACCAGTGCCAGAATAGCCGAATGAGCCGGAAAAGAGAACGCCAAACGCCAAATTGAACTCCGAGAAAAAAACTGGAAAGGTGTAACATTATTGTGGATGGGCTGGAAGACGCGAGGAAGTAAGGAAATGCAAATGGTTCATGCAGCATCGGGAAAGGGAGACGGATGAGAATAATGGGTGCCCGCTCAGGACCAGACACCTTCTAGAGCACCGGGATGCACATCCAGTCGGGAGAGATGCAACGGCCCGAAGCCGCGCCTGCTTGCGTATAAGCCGGGCCAGCTATATCACGCAGGAAGCATTCGGACATGTATGCACGGCACGGTACGTCTCTCCCCGCCACTGGGCACACGGCAAGCAGGCTATAAAGTACGCCCCGCATGGCAGCACAGCAACTACTGCAGACCCCTCGTGTCTTCTGCAGCGCTTCTGCGACGGTTTGTACAGGATGAGGAGGGGAGGGGCCGGTGCGAGCGATCGATCCTCGTGGGAACACGACGTTGTAGGCTAAAAGCCTGCAGCACTAGCTTTCCTGTATTCCTGAAAGTTGCTAGCGATGGTTGGGTCTTCTTGGCTGCGCAGCTCTTCCTCCCAGCGCTCTTCTTCTTGCGCGTGGGCGGCTTCGAAGGCGGCGGATTGGCCGCGGTGGAAGTACAGGGGTGCGCGTTTGAGGAGGGCGACGTCTTGCGTGACGAGGATGTGCTTGACGCTTGAGCCTGGGGGAATTTGTTAGTCAGCTCAATCTATTGTCGAGGCAGGAGGTAAGCTTACCGGGTGTCTCATATTTGGCTTGCAAGAGAAGCTGGTCGACGACGTGTCGTAGCCCGCGAGCGCCTGTGCCCATCCTACTTGCTTTCCGTGCGATTTCGCGAAGCGCGCCGTTTGTGAAGCGTAGCTCGATGTTCCTGAGGTACGATTTGTGCTCTTCTTGTCTTATTAGGCTGTCTTTGGGCTCGGTGAGAACGCGGACAAGAGCTTCTTCGTCCAGAGCTGCTACTGCGCAGACTGTGGGTATTCGGCCTATGAGTTCGGGTATCATGCCAAACTTCTGCAAATCTGCTGGTTGCACGTGGTCAAGTACGTTGACCTTCTCTTCGCGCTGAACCTGTCTAACACCAAAGGGGTTTGGCACTTCATTCTTCGGCGGTACGAAGAAAGGGGAGTCTTTCTTGAAGGACTCAGCTTCCACACCTGTCAGCATAACACCATCCGCGGCGGCATGTGCGTTCGATGACCGTATTGATGCCCCGAAACCCATACTACCCTTTGATTTCCTGTCCAAGATGATCTTGTGTAGGCTTGAAAAGGCGCCAGTGCAAATGAAGAGTATGTTGTCAGTTCGGATGTTGAAGACCTCGCCTTTGTTTCCGCCTGGCCCAGGAGGCTGAGGGCCACCGGGCATTCCGCCGGGCCTGTTCGCGCTCTTCTCCGGTTTGGCTTGCACCTGTACGGTTGTGCCCTCGATGATCTTGAGCAGCGCCTGCTGAACACCTTCGCCGCCGACATCCTTGCCGTATGACATCTTGGACCCCGCGATCTTGTCGATCTCGTCCAGAACAATGATGCCATGCTCAGTTGCGTCGATGTCATAGTTCGCGGCTGAGAAGAGACGAGCAACGCACGACTCGACGTCGTCGCCAATGTATCCCGCCTGTGTAAAGGTAGTGCAGTCCGACATGGAGATGGGTAGACCCAGCGTCTTGGCCAATGTCTTGCACATCAACGTCTTTCCCACACCAGTAGGTCCGAGTATGAGCACATTGGACTTTTCTATCTGCAGCTGGTGCTCGCTGGTATCGAGTAAGGAATCGGTGTCTGAGGAGGTGGATGAGGCTGGTTTGTAGGCAGGTGCTTCGCCGTAGGGTAGAGGGTCACTGTGACTGTGCAGTTCCACGGTGGACTGCTGGCCGGGGAACTCGTCTGCTCTGCTGCTCAGCGCCCGCATCATAAGAGGATGACGGTTGAAGTCGTCGATGATTGGATCAATATGAGATTTGGGGCTACCTTCTACAGGATGTCTGTACACGGATGCTCGCCTCTGCGCCTGCGCCTCGAGTCTAGCCTGCTCATGGTGCTGTCTCTTGATCTCTTGGATGCGGAGATGGTGCTCGTGGACAGCCACGCTCAAGACTATCTTTGCGCGATCCTGATCAACGACGAATTGATCGAGGTGCTGTCGCAGCACTTTGGGCGTGATGTGGCCTGCGCCCACATTGCTGGTGTTGCCCAGTGGACCGCGCGTCGGCTGATCAGGCTCATAGAAAGACGAGAAGCCCTGGCCGCTGAAGTCGGAGCGATTGAATCTGGACGACTTGCGCGTGTGCGACTGGGACAAGGGCGCGCGGCGCGAGATGCTATAGAGGGCGAGGTAGGACGCGCGGGCCTGGGGCGAGACGGCAGCGGGAAGCGCCCTCCGGATCGTCTTGGACAGCAGCATCGTGGGAGAGGAAGCGCAGGGAGATCACACTACAAACTCAAAGACATCGAGGGCATCACGGGGGCTTTAATACAAAGTCGCGATGGCGCCGGCTGCGCTCGAGGCTTGGAAGTAACCGTGGTTGAGCCGCCGTGAGCTCCCCACGTTAGGCCAGAGATGCGGGGGAAGCTCTGTCCCCACGGTTCCCGATGCCGATAAGGGCCTTTGCCGCCGACGCGTGACCAGCGTGCTACTATCAGGTAGTCTACAACACCATGTAGTCGGCAGAGCGCCTCAGGGTCCGCTTCAATGGCATTCTAGATGCGGATGCCGGTTCCTGGCTCCGAATGAATTGTAGCGCAAATCCTTCCGACAGCACCCCAGCAGAGATACGCTGTTGGGACGTGGCGCGGGCGCGATGCCCGTTGCAGCGTGCTCGGAGCTATGACGTTGATTGTTGGGTTGGCAACAACTTTTGGTTGAGCGCTGCTCTCAGCATCGGGTTAGAGACCCCGCAAATTCGTGATCGTCTCTGCAATTCATCTGGCGGCCTGTCGCTGTGAAACCTGCATCCTCCCGCTGCCATATACTCTGGTAGCAAACCTCACAGCTCCTCCCACCTACCATCCCACACCATGGAGCTCAACAAGGCTTCCGCAAACTCGGCCCTGAGCGACGCCCCGGGGCAGGTCCCCAACGATGGCACTGGTACATATTGATGCCCAAATTATCCTATCAATTGACTGACCAATTCGCCCAGGCATCATCCAGATGGATGGCTACCTTGAGCCCTTCAAGGACGCGCTGAAGAGCCGCTTCTCCAAGGCCCAGAAGTGGATCAAGACGATTGAAGAGACTGAGGGCGGTCTCGAGAAGTTCTCGCGGGCAAGCAGCCCAACCACCTTGGCAAGAGCGGTGTAGCTAACAGCGCCCAGGGTTACGAGAAGTTCGGCTTCAATGTCCAGTCCAACGGCGACGTCGTCTACCGCGAGTGGGCCCCGAATGCCCTGCGCGCCTACCTCATTGGTGACTTCAATGGCTGGGACCGCGATGCGACACCCATGACCAAGAACGATTTCGGCGTCTTCGAGGTGACGATCCCTGGCCAGAACGGTCAGCCCACTATTCCCCACGACTCCAAGATCAAGGTCTCTTTCGTCGTGCCTAACGACCATGCGCGCCAGGAGCGCCTCCCCGCCTGGATCACCCGAGTGACCCAAGACCTCAACGTGTCCCCCGTATACGATGCCCGCTTCTGGAACCCTCCCCAGAAGTACGTCTGGAAGAACCAGCGGCCGCCCAAGCCCCAGAGCGCACGTATCTACGAAGCCCACGTTGGCATCTCCTCCCCCGAGCCCAAGGTAGCGACCTACAAGGAGTTCACCCGTGACATCCTCCCTCGCATCAAGCACCTGGGATACAACACTATACAATTGATGGCCGTCATGGAGCATGCGTACTACGCCAGTTTCGGATACCAGATCAACAGCTTCTTCGCTGCGAGCAGCCGCTACGGCTTCCCAGACGACCTGAAGGAGCTCATTGATACTGCGCACGGAATGGGCATTACCGTCTTGCTGGACATGGTGCACAGTCACGCATCTAAGAACGTGCTTGACGGTCTCAACATGTTCGACGGCAGTGACCACCTCTACTTCCACGAGGGCGCCAAGGGACGACACGAGCTGTGGGACAGCAGGCTGTTCAACTACGGTTCCCATGAGGTCATGCGCTTCTTGCTCAGCAACCTGCGCTTCTGGATGGAGGAGTACCGCTTCGACGGGTTCCGATTCGACGGAGTTACCAGCATGCTATACACCCACCACGGCATCGGAACGTGAGTATTTATCCGCTTCTAATGCTAGCAAAGACTAACGCACCCAGGGGCTTTTCGGGTGGTTACCACGAATACTTCGGTCCTTCGGTCGATGAGGAGGCAGTCGTGTACCTCATGATTGCCAACGAGTTACTGCACACACTCTACCCCGACTCCATCACAATTGCCGAAGACGTTTCCGGTATGCCTGGTCTTTGCGTGTCGCTCTCGTTAGGCGGAATAGGATTCGACTACCGACTAGCCATGGCTGTACCCGACCTCTACATCAAGTGGTTGAAGGAGAAGCAGGACATTGACTGGGACATGGGCGCACTCGTCTTTACATTGACAAACCGGAGGCACGGCGAGAAGACCATTGCCTACGCGGAGAGTCACGATCAAGCGTATGTTAACATATGGGGTTTAACAATCAGTACTGACATATCCCAGGCTGGTCGGAGACAAGACTCTGCTCTTCTGGCTTTGCGACGCGCAAATGTACACCAACATGTCGGTCCTTTCGGAGCTCACCCCAGTCATCAACCGCGGTTTGTCGCTGCACAAGCTGATCCGACTGATCACACACGGTTTGGGAGGTGAGGGTTATTTGAACTTTGAGGGTAACGAGTTCGGTCACCCTGAGTGGCTCGACTTCCCTCGCGAAGGCAACAACAACAGCTTCCACTACGCTCGCCGCCAATTCAACCTCCCAGACGACGAGCTCCTCCGCTACAGGTTCCTCAACGAGTTCGACAGCAAGATGCAGTGGACTGAGGAGAAGTACGGATGGCTCCACTCGCCTCAGGCCTATGTCAGCCTCAAGCACGAGGGTGACAAGGTCATCGTATTTGAGCGCGCTGGACTGTTGTGGATCTTCAACTTCCATCCCCAGGAGAGCTTCACCGACTACCGTGTTGGCGTCGAGCAGGAGGGTACTTACCGTATCGTTCTGAGTACCGACAACAAGGCGTTCGGTGGCCATGGTAACGTGGACGAGACAACTAGGTTCTTCACCACACCATTTGCCTGGAACGAGAGGAAGAACTTCCTGCAGGTGTACATTCCTAGCAGGACTGCTATCGTAAGTGAACCCTTAGATGAATGTATTGCGATCACATGCTAATCATATTAACAGGTGCTGGCGCTCGAGAGCACTTTGTAGGAAGTATGACCGATGTCTAAGAGGCATGGTGATGGATGTTAAATTGAAGGGTCAATATACCCAGCGAAATGATCGTGCCGCATAGTATGAATAGCGATTCATGTCTCGATAGATTAATAGAAGACATCTGCCGATCAAATTATGCCATTGCACTATTCCAATAGGTGACAATTATATGTTTTGGCTATCACTTGCGCTTGGAGCATTATAGTCGCGCCCCCGGGTCATGTACCAACAGACACATCAGCGGATACCCCCAGGCTATGTTTTGACAAACGGGCAAGTTTGGATATATCGAGACCCAATGTCTGTCATATAGATTGCAATTAATTCTGCTAATTCTCATATAGCAAAAACCTGCAGGTTCGAGTGGAGTGATAAGCGTCTTTACGTCTTGAAACAAGCCATAACATCCTTCCGAAGTATTGTTATATTTTTGCCCTTTGTTCGAAATCAGCTTGTGACTACCTTTTAATTAAGGTAGCTAGTATCTTTTTGCCTACCAAAGGTGTGGGTGTCATGTGAAGTGGAAGTGAAGGTGAAAAGTGAAGGTGAAGCCGGATTGAGAAGTCTGGACGCTCACCAATTCTATGAAAATCCTTGCAGCCTACAACTTTTTCTCTACTACATCACAAAGTATCATCATCACGATGGAGTACCAGTATCCCGCTTCCGCTGGCACCAGCAAGACCATCACCATGCGCCTCCCCATTGGGGTCTACTACGCCACCATCCGCCCCACCATGAAAGAGGGCGAGGACATCTACGCTGCGCTTCGCGGAGCTCTCGTGGGCAAGATTGGTCCACTCTTCAACATCATTGTGTGGCACCCGACCGCCAAGCAGAAAGTCCGCCTGGACTATAAACATCTTCACTCCAACATCGCATACCGCATCGAAACGACCCTCAAGGCCCGCCAGCAAGGTCCTGGCATTTCGGCCTCCGGCGCCTACAAAAAGGTGCAGAGGCACCTCGAGGCCATCTGCGGGCACTGGAAGCTGTCTGAAGGCAGTGAAATTCTGCCTGAGAAGATCGCTCCTCGCGATGAGGAAGGCAATTTGGTGTTTCCTGCAAATTGGCCTGCACGTTTCGCCGATGAGGTCCGCAAACTGAGCGGCCACAGTGTCGATAGACACGAAGTCGCCATGGGCTTCCTGGTCGCAGCCGTGGAGGCTAGACGACAGCGAGAAGGCGACATGGGGACAGCGACGAGCGGAGACTGCAGGACTGCGATGGCCTGGCTGGCTACAAATACCGCAGACCAGGCGTACGCGCACCTACCAGAGGAGGTGGCGGCTACACAGACGTTCGCGGGTGGCCTGGCGGAGGCAGTACAGCAGGCCCTGGAGCAGACAGAGGGTGAGGGAGCGGCAGTTGGATCGGCGTACGAGGAGGCTGGCAGATTCAACATCAGTACACACTTCCGATCTGCTTGAGCATTGGGGACCAGGACGGTAGACACATAGTTGCTGATTTTTGCTCTCTGAACGTGCTGACAATATGAACGTTCCTCATTCCAAGCCCAAATCTCCTGTCTCCTTCGCAAGATCATGAATACTTCTCAAGGCCTTACAGATACCCTTGTGAATCGGCCAGTCCCGCTTCTGATGCTCAACGCTACAGTACCTTGACGTCTTACACTGCGAACATGGCTTTAGCCCCTCGGACTTGCCACACACCTCGCAGCTACGCGCCATACTGGGGCCCTTACAGAAAATCTTGTGATTCGGCCAGTCCCGCTCCTCATGCTCAGCACTGCAATACATCGCCCACTTAATCCCACACTTCGAACATGGCCTTGACCCCTCGAATTTGCCACACACCTTGCAGGCGTGCTCTGCGTCATACTTCATTTGATCCGCTCTGAAGACTTTCATAAGTTCGCTAGCCCCCTCTACACATTTCTTTGTACCACAAGTTGGCACGATGCCAATGACAACAAACGGTTCCGGTGTGTGGAGTTGGGAGACGCAGAAAGTCTTTCCGTATCTTGTCGGGGCTTCTTTGCAGACTAAGCATTTTGGACCACTCCTTGTGTTGAACTCGTTCTGGTGTTCTGCGATGATTGGAGGCATGGCTTCTCCGAACTCGCGTTCGTATGTTGGGGGTGGGCTCGAGTGCATCTCTGGGGGAATAATGAGAGATGCGGGGATCTCGCAGTAAAAGTCCCAGGGCTTCACTTCTTGGAAGCTTAGAGGCGTGCAGTGCATACGTACGGTGCGCATTCCTGGTTTGGGTTGCGCTGTGCTCTTTGCTTTGTCTTTTCCCTGGCTCTGCTTGCTCGTCGAGGCGCTGCTACTTGGCTGACTGGGCCCAGATTGCTGTTTTCCCTTACTCGGTTCAGTTTTCTTGTTCTTTTGCTGCGCTGGAGCCGTCTTGGGGGTAGACGTCGAGGTGCTTGATGTTCCGTTTTCTTCCTCGTCAAGGAGCTTCCAAGCCTGGCAGGTTTCCTCCAAGTACTCTTTCGCGAACTTCAGGTCTTCGCAAATACGCTTATGTTTCTTCCAATCAGCCTTTTGATGCTCTCTACTGCAATATCTCGTCACCCTACATCTGGCACATCTCATTGCACCATCCTTCCGCCCGCAGTGGCAGGGAGTGCCATTAGATATTTTGCTTTGGAGATGAGCTGTGGTCATTTCGATCATCGCTTCGTGTGCTGCGATCACTTTTGTCTTACAGGACCGGCTTCCGCAAGTGGCATAAACGTTTATCCTGATTTGCTGAGCATCGAGATGTAGCAGGCACTCCGGCCTGAAAAGCAAATCGGTAGCCTTCGAGCTGCAAAACATACACGGATGTCTGGAAACTGTCTGTTTACACTGAGGCCGATGCCTGGATTCGATGTCCAAGAGTGTGGAACGAAGCTGGGCTTTGTATTCGGGCGTCTCTCGAACCTCCAATGGTGCCCCCAATAGATTGGTGGGCACGCTCGCAGCGCCGTCCCAGGAGGGAATGTTCATGACATCTTCACTCCCCCGGTAATTGATATGGAGTAAGATATTTTGAGTAGCCATGATTGAAGGTTGAAGGTGGATGAGAAGGTAAAGTGAAGCACTTCAGAATTGAGAGGTTATGATCAACGCACTGACCAGCATTGATGCGCTTGCTAGCCACCCCTCATGTGCAGACCATTCTAGAAGGATCGCAACAGATCAATTGATCGGTCTAAACACAGAGGTTGATGTTTTTCAGTCTAACCTCAACCTCTCGCCCTAGCCTTCAATCTCAACGTTCCACTATCCTCTTCCCCACTATCCTTCCTCAACTGTGCCTCAATCAGTCTCCCAATATTCCCTCCACCCTGCATCACACCCCCTCTCAGCAGCTCTGTAATAACGCGTCCTCTAACGACCGTCTCTTCAACCACACCCTCAACATTCTCAGGTCCTATGCGCCCGTACCAGATGCCCGAGCCCTTCAATGCATTACCCTCCATATTGGGAGGTAGGTACATGATGACATTGCCAGCATACTTGTGCCCACCAATATGGCTTATCAACCCTACATCTGCGTCTATGTTCCTCCGCTGAAACTCAGACCGAAACGAGGATTGTAACAAGGGCCCGAGAATACCGCAGCGCTGATCACGGCCGCCATGGCCGCATATCAGGATCGTGGGTTTGGTGATGTTTTCCGCCTTTGGCAGTTCGGTCGCTTTCGACTCGTCGCGAAGGAGATGAGACTTTTGCTCAGCGGATAGGCCGTCGTGCATGGAATGGAGATTGCGAGCCTTTAGGTATGCGGTCGCGAAGTTCGAGAAGGCTTCGGGGGCATGCGGGATATCCGGTATGCGTTTAAAGCTTGGGAATAGCAATGCCGTTGTCGCGCCTGCTTTTTCACTTTTCGGTAATGAGGAAGCAGTGATGAGAACGTTCGTGAATGGCTATATGATGCAGCAACGCGTCAGCTTTCCAAGTATCATAGAATGACCGTACTGGGAAACAGACCTACATCAAATTCGGGACCGCCTTTTCCAATCACACCTTTGAGCCCTTTTACAAACTCCCCGGTCTCGCCCTCCTCCTGCTCGATGTTGCTGACCCAGTCTTCCTTCCCGGTACAGAATATGACCTGTTCAGAGTAGGCCGCCATAGTGTTCAACAGTGGTGTCTTGCGATCAATGTCTAGATCGGGAGGCGTTGCCGCGCACTCGCAGCTCGGTGACGGACATGATTGCGTGTACGGTATCGCGGTCTGGAAGCGCGTCCGGGTCGTGGAGAATGAGCGAAAGGAGCGGGGTATAGCAGCCCGAGAGATTCGGGTGAAGGACATGTTGCGAAGTTGGCGTGCGAGATTCTTGGGGGCGATGTGGAAATTGTATGGGCGTTTCGGAAAGTATTCCGCGATGATGACGCGAAGTCGGGGTATTACAGTACACTAGCGCGGGCTCGGAGTTTGGTGCACACCGAAGGTCACAGGCAATTGAACATTCAGAAGACGACATGTGGTCGGCAACATAATTCATGATTTTAGAGGGTCTCCTCAATATACGTGTTTGAAGTGCACCTGACTAATCCCAGAATTAACCCCTATCATGTCTCCAGCCATGCATCCCGCCGCTCAAACGCCCGCTCAAAAGGCCACCGCCGCTGTCTCCACCACCGAAACCTCCAGGGCTACCAAAGCCACCGCTCCGACGATTAACACTACCACCGTTGAGTAGCTTGTCGAACTGCTCAATACTTACTATTGCACGTTGCTGTACGTCGTTGTCTGCATCGCGACCCAGCTGCTTAGCGCCTTCCTCGAAGCCCAGTTGGCGAAGGGTGATGGCACGTTCACGCGTAGCGGCTTCATCGGTATGATCTTCTATCCACACGAGATTGTGCAGCATCCAGGACAATGCGACGCGGATGTCGCGGCGAGGGTGAGTGAAAAGCTGAAGAACATGCTGCATGAGAGTGGTCTGCGAGATGAGAAGAGAGCGGTGCTGAGGCCGGCCATTGGCGAGGTGCACGAGAATATACACTGCGGCCAGAATGAGTTCGGGGGCGGGATAGGTAGCCCAATTTGGCTGTGCTGGGGTGTTTGTGGAAGAGGAAAAGGGTGTGCGGTGGCTAGTACTTGGCCAGTAGCTTGGGGCTGTAGCACTGGGTTGAGTTTGTGACATCGTCTTTGGCCGGATCTTAGCATCGAGAATTTCGAAGAACCGACTGTGGCCAAAGGTCTTGAGCAGGTGGTCGATCATCTCGCCGGAAGCTTTGTCTTCTGAAACAAAGTTCCGGATGAAGTCCAACGCTTGTTCTTGTATACGGATATCGTCGCGCTCGCCGTTGAGCCGATTGTCCTGTTCGTCGTTCTTGATCTGTTGTAACCGATCTCGAATGTTAGTTGCACTTGTGTACCGTGAACCAGGACGTTGATGCCGTCGCATAGACGGTATACTTTCGGTCATGGCATCATCATCCTCTTCGGATGACGGCTCTTCATCCACATCCATATGGGGCTCATCAACCGCATTGAGAATATCGACTTGCTCTCCTGCTGCGTTGGGTGTACCCATAGTTGGCTTGGATGGCTCTCCGTTGAGTACTTGTACGAGCCAGCCAACACCGAGCTCCTCAAGACATTGTATCTTCATGGCATGTGGTAAGCCTAGGCACAAGTGCTTGAGCGCCCAAAGGCTACCGAAACGAAGGTCGAAGTTTGCTGATCTACATTGTTCGCAGAGCGTTCCCAGTACTCCAGACTCGACGATCTCCTAGTAAATACATTAGCATGAAAAAAAGCACAATGAGCATTGTACTCACAGTTCGCATAGGTGACACGTCAAGCACCAAGTTGGTGATGACCTCCGTAGCAGCAATCTGCACCTTGACGTTCGGATGCGTTAAGAGCTCGAAGATCGGCTGTGCAACCCCGTGATCGATCAAGCTGGTCCTCAGCACACTGACAGACCTGGAAAGCGATCGTATGACTTTACACGCAGCAATGAGCACCGAATCTGGGTTGCCGTCCTTCGCTGAAGAAGACGCGCCCTGCTCGTTGCTTTCACGGTAAGGAACCAAGGCTTCAATGATGTGGGTTGCAGCGCCCATCTCAATGACCATCTTTCTCAACGCATCTTGGTCTCCTGCTATCGCCGCCAGAGCCAGTAGCACACTCTCTCGATACCTAAACGCGTGCAATACATCGGCGCTTAGTCCAGGTCTGCCCAGTGTGGAAGATGCAGGGTCGATATCTGGGTCTTTCACTTCGTGAGATGACGATCGCGGTTGCCAGAGAGGTTTTGAAGATGTAGCCGGCACATCGAACGACTTCTTGAGAATCTGAATAAGGGTCGGTAGGGTTCGATTATGAACGGCTGCTGTTTGAAGAGTCTTATTTCCCGCAATCAGCTCAGCAAGCACAACTGGCGAGCGTTCCAACACGAATCGCATCTCATCTCTTGAAGCAGGGCTTAGAGTATTAGCTCTTTTCGCTTGCTCTGATG